CACACACACACACACACACACACACACACACACACACACACACACACACGCGCGCCTAGTCACGCACGATTCTATACGCTTGCTCTTTGATGCCTTTTTATATATACTTGAAAATATTTTTACTAACATCTCTGTCAAAATTGGTGTAAGCATTGTTTGTTTTGTTGGTAGGTCAATGGGTGTAAGCTTAATACGTTAGAACATGGGGCGCCTGGAAGCCTAAGATACAGATCTCTTGATCTAGTTTAAATTCCAGTCTCCAACCGATTTTGTCCTCTGTTGAATAAAACCCGATTCTGTGATAATTATTCTGTAACCAATAAATATTTTTTTATTATTATGCCTAATGTACTTTCCTCCCAAGGACTGCAGCGCCCACTGGGGGCAGTAGGGACCACTTTGGGAAACTATGATCTATACCATAAACTATTAATATACACAATTATTTATCCATCGTATTAAAACTTTTTTTCATTATTTTCTTAAACGAAAAGGCAAAGGTTTAAATCATACAGCCAAGTTTTGGCAATATTTTCTTCTGTTACACTAGATAAATAGGCATACGCCAAATCTTCTGTCCATTATTTTACTTTGGACAAACGCAACAATCTTTTTTTCTGATACACAGTGACGGACGGGACGAATAAGTCTTGCGTCTGGGGGGTAGGCGACACACCTTTTTACAACTGTTGCAGTGCTACTCAGAGCTCTAAATCGCAAAGATTTGAGGGGCACTCCCACTGTGCTCTGAGACATAAGTTGTGAAGTCCCATGTGCCTGTAATTTCACTAGCACCCTTACCCTTCAAAACCGAAACGCAGTATGCTCCTTATTCACAAGTTATTGTTTGGCGGCAGAAATTGATGATTAAACGAACTTACCTTAAGTGAAGTCATATCATAATTATACGAAGCGCCTCGCCTGAAGAGATCAGTATAACAGATATAGATATAACACATGTAGTAACACATATGTAAGTGACATAGTGATCTTCACTGTAGTTGAGAAAACATTTTTTTTATTTTTTTTTGTTTTGGGGTAGTTTTAAGCTAATATCGCCACATAAAACAGTATCGGTACGCGCTCGCGTCATTTAGTTTGGAGTTACATTTTCAGACTGTGTTTGATATTACCGAAAATGCTTGGGTTAGGGGTTTATCGGGTGGGTGGGATACTGATCTCTTCGGACGAGGCGCTTCGTATAATTGTGATAGAAATTCACTTAAGGTAAGTTCGTTTAATCATCAATTATACTCGCGTCTCGTCCTCGAGATCAGTATAGATATGGTATAGACCATAGATTTAGTATGGATATACTAAATCTATGGTATAGACAGATATAGATATAACACATGTAGACTTTGAGAGTACGTATTAAGTACGTATCACCCATTAGTATGGAGTGCTCATAAGTGGGTAAAAACTCTACTAGTAGAGATTCGAAGGAGGAAAAGTAGTCTACTCTAAGAGAAGGACTACAATAAACATCGAGAAGAATTTTTACATGAGATATGCTAAGGATTTTGAGGAATAAAGCTACGTAAATAGATGGCTACCCCGCCGTGAGAGGAACTTAAACGATCATTACGAATGAAGTGGAAACTAGGTAAAGAGTAAGAAGTAGAAGGGAGATAAGAGTTAAGAAAAGTTTCAGACACAAGGATAGCGTGAAGATTGCTTACTTCAAAGCAAGTAAATCTGAGTAATGAGCAGGAATATTCTGTACATTAATGTGAGCGACATTAAAATTTTTAGGCGCATCAGCAAAGGTGGAAATTAAATTTTCATTTAAAGAAGGAGTCAAGCTGTGGAAGCTGTCTTCATCGGAAGAGCAGGACATGAAAATATCAGAGAGAGAGAGAGACAAAAACAAAAAAAACGACAAAACAATAATAAAAACTGCATACAACGGAACGTAACAAACACAAAAGAATGTAGCGACAACAGGTTAACTATATGTACAACAACAAGCGTAGCAAGAAAAACAGAAAGAGATATAAACAGTGACA